ATTTCCGTTCATCCTCCTTTCCTTTGGTTCCAGACTTGAAGAGTGACTAATAAGGACCATGGTCTCCAGGGTTCCACCAGTTTGTATGAGACCAGTACACCTCATCTTTTTTATGATTTTGAGTTTTGTTCCACATTTTTCTCCCATTCCATCTAAGAATTCCTATTATGATCCCTTTTAGAGTTGTTGGAGGTGGTAGCCAAGCACCATCTAGTTCTTCTGGTCTCAAAGTTTTTGGGGCTGGGGTTTCTGTGGTCCATTAGTCCTTTGGACTAATTGTTTCCATGTGTCTTTGATTAACTTCACTCTTCTTTGCTCCAGATGGGGAGAGACCAATAGTTGTACCTTAGATGGTTGCTCACAACCTTTTAAGACCCCAGTTGAATGAAGTAGATTGTCTGCTTTTGTGGAGATCAACTTTGTGGTCTTATGTTACACCAGTGGGCACTGATGTCCCTCAAGACCATGGTCTCGAGCCCCCAGGCCCAGTGACTGATTCCCTCAAGGTATTTGGCTATGGTTAAGAACTGTTGTTGTTTGTTAATGGACAAAAATACAGTTTCAGTTTTCAAACTCTGATGAATGGTTTCCAAATCAGATCTTCCCTTTGAGCCATAAGATTTTAAGATGGATCATCTGTGGTTTGCGCTTTCTACTACCAAGAGATTTTTTTGTGTTCCCGTACAGGTGAGTTCAGGGGTATATATTTACTTCATAGCTTTCATCTAAACAGCTACATTTGAACTTCTTTAAACTGATCAGGCTCCTGAAACTACGGCCCTGAGATAATCTTTAAACCTTAAATCTTAAACCAAAAATATGCCCTTAAGTCTTCTTAAAACCAAACAATAGTTTAGTTTAACTAGTAAAGAATGTCTGCCTTGAGCACTGTGGTATTTTAATACTTATCTATGTGGAATCAAATTGATGACAACAACTCAAAAGGATAGGAAACTCAGGAGACAGTGCGTTTGTATATACTCAACAACAACAACAACAACAACAAATTATTAAGAAAAAAAGAAACTCGATCAGAGCTAGTTAACACCATTAGCTCGAAACATCAAACCTTGACGTAATAATTAGAAGGAGAATGTATGTGTCATCAAATAATACACCCTCCCCAAGAGTTTGTACTTGTTGCTACATTAATAATTATAATTTGTGAAATAATTTATAATTATAATGTTTATAAATTATAAAAAGCTTTTCTCAGTGTTTCTACCTCCTCTGTTACTCTTGCCCTGATCCTGGAGCTTCCCTTACATTTTTTTTTTAAAATGCATTTTATTGAAATATAATTTATGTACAGTGAAATACACAAAACTAAAGTGACATGGGTCAATGCATTTTTTTTCAGTGTTCCCTCCTCTCCCCTCCAACCCCTGGCCATCAACACAGAAAGTTTCCCTCCATATATAAACCTTTCCTTGACCCTCCACAACAACGAACTAATGCTATATTTGCCCTTCTGTGATTAATTTATTTCACTTAGCACAATGTCCTCCAAGTTCATCCATATTATGCAGTGTTTTGCAGACTCTATGTTATTGTTTAGTGCTGCATAGCATTCCATTATGTGTGTGTACCATAGTTTGGTTATCCACTCTTCCACTATAAATCTTAGAGATAAGTCCTTTGCCAGATATGTAATGATCGGAAAATATGAATTTGTTGCTGTCATTTTTGCTATGTGCTTTTTCATGTTGTCAATTTCTTTGTTCCATATAATTTTCTATGGTGAGCTCATTTTGTTTATGAACCATGTTATCACTTCCTTTGTTGCTGTTGTTTTAGTATTTGCTGAATATTTATGCTGGTGCTCTCTTTTGATGTTAAAGTTTATCATTTTTCTTTGAAGGTACAATTTTCTTCCCAAGTTTCGAACAGTCCATTCTATCTTGTAGTTGTCTTGACACTTCCGTATCATCTAGAAGTTCTCTAATGACACAGTTTTTCCCCTCTTTTTGGTTTGCAGTTGTCTTCATTTGTCAATTGATGTCTCTGGTTCCCTGTTTACAATCTGGTAGGCTTATTTCCTTTGGACATTTCCCTAGCTGGGTTGGTTTCTGGGTTATGTCATCATGTGTGTTAATGGTCAGTTGTTGTTGGCTGTTGTTGATTCTCTGTCCAAAGGGCACCCTGTAGCATCTCTTGTAAGATTGGTCTGGTTTTAACAAATTCCCTTAATTTCTGCTTATCTGGAATGCTCTAATTCACCATCATATTTGAGGGACAATTTTGCTGGGTACATAATTCTTGGTTGGAAATTTTTCTCTTTCAGGGTTTTATATATATCATCCCATACATATTTTTTCTCGAGAAATCATAGCCTAGTCTCATTGGTTGCCCCTTGTAGGTAACTTTCTGTTTTTTCCATGCTGCTCTCATGATTCTTTCTTTGTCTTTGGTTTTGTTAAGTTTGATGATGATATGTCTGGGTGATTTTCTCTTGGGGTCTATCCAGTTTGGAGTTCGTTGGCTTCCTGAATATATATAATCTCATCTTTCATCATACCAGGAAAATTCTCTTCCAACAAATCTTTGACAATTTTCTCTGTGGTTTTATTTGTCTCTTCCTGTTCTGGAATTCCGATGACAAGTAGGTTATTCCTTTTGATGGTATCCCACATGAACCTTAGGCTTTCTTCATTTTGTTTTGATCTTTTTTTCTGATT